TTCATCACTCTTTCTACCTAGTCTGTCTTTGTCTGGAAGCTCATCTGAAACCTGTCCACCATGGGTGAGCCTGCTGGTACTTAAAATACCGGTGGCATAGCTTTCAGAATCACAGCAATTCACAAGCCACCACAGTATGACAAACTGACAGATGAGTGGTGGCCATTTGGTTTTAAGTGGAAACTGTCCCTTTAAATTTCAAGATCTGTTGGCATGCATAGTAGAGCCCTCCAGGGGTAGGGGTGGGTGTCTATTTGCTCAGGTATCCTCTCTAGTCACCAGAATGAAGTGTGCAGACAGTGAGAGACCAGTGAACAGATACCAAAAAAAGAATGTCCACACCTGTATCTCCACGGTTCTGTCAGGTGTTCATGGCTGTTTTGAACCTTCCCTCACTTGGTCTCTCCCAAGTTGGCAGCTCTGGGAGCAGTTGAGCATCTTGAATTAGAAAGCACTGGATTTCTTGATTCTTCTACAAATTCTCCTAGCTGTCAGCCTTCCAAGCTTCTAAATATTTCTTTATATGCGGTTCAGAGTTTTAGCACCATCCTGTGAGCCTGCTTAGTCTGGTATTCCATGTTGTTGTTGATGGAGCTCTGCACTGCACATCTACCTGATCTGCCATTTTGGATGAGCTTACTCACTTATATAGATTGTATTAATATATATTTCTGTCATTATCTGATAAGCATGGTTTGTTTCATTTATGAACATTTCATTTGATAACTGTGACACTTTCTGGTGGAATTCTGACTAGAAGGCACATGGTCTGAACTAACACAATTCATCCTGTACTCTAAAGTATGCATCCAGTGGCAAGAATCTTCTCAATTGCTTTTTGTAGTATCTATAACACCCTATGATGTGGGAAGACAATATATAAGGAATAAAGAATATACTCAATAAATACAGTGCTAACCTAACACTGAATGAGATGTAAGCGCAGTGTAAATGAGATCCTATTAATAGGTACACATTTACCAGGTGCCAAATCTTTTGATATTTTGATCAAAGGCCAATGGAAATTATATTTCACAGTAAACAAAAATGTGTTCAAAAAGGAAAAATGAAAAGATAATAAAAGATACCCTCTAGGCATCACTGGTTTAGTCCCTGGCACATAATACATACAAGGCACTCTATGAATTGCACTTCTGCCCTCTATTACACACCTCGATGTGGAAGACTGCCCCAGGTATTTATAGGACTAGAGGAAATGTCTGCACCTCTAAAAACATTTAGGCAGCTCTTTATAGTTGCATAAGCCTCCCTCTAAGGAGTAGATGAAAGAGTCCCTGTATCTCTGTGACATTTGGCTTCGACTATGGGATTGCTAATAGTTGTACTGCTTGTTATTTACGAAACCGATTGGAGAACAGCACTCTCAGGGGACAGTGTTTTCAAAGTTCCATGCTTTATGTTTTACCCCAAATGTACTTTTATTTTTCAATATTTAGTTTATGATAATAACATAGAGTTAGACAATCCAGATATTTAATGTTCTGAATTACCTAGTTAAAACCTAAAAGCATAAACTGGAATGTGATAAAAAGGTTTAAATCAAGCCTGGTGAATATATTAGATCTTTCTCAAATTAAGATGAATACCACATCCCAATGCATTCTATGGCAGATGATGTCTATTCCTAGAGCATTAGTATACGGTAGAAACAAAAAATACATTACCATTTACAGAATTGTAGAATACTGCTCTTGTGCTTTTCACACTGCTGGCACTGCCCACAGAGCCTCCAACATCCCATAATTCTATGTAGTAAGTCTTCTCTTCTGGTGTTCCTTCTTTGTAGTCATGAACCTAACAAATCAATAGATTAAAATGGTTACAGCTACTGAAAAAACTAGTTAAGTACTTTCTTTCCTGTTTAAAGCAACAGGCACTCCAAGTAAATCACAATCACTTAGGGCTCACACTCCTCACAGATAGAATGGAGATACTGGTGGTAATATCTAAGATGTATTATATTCTATGGTTTGCCCTGGGACTTTGATGACATTGTGAAACCACTGCACCAAACCTGAAACCAACTACCTCCACACTTTTTGTTATGTGATATAATTAAATATTTCCATAAACAATGGCTCAGCAAACTGTGACCCATGGATAAATCTGGCCTACCACATTTTATTCGAATGCAACCAGGCCAATTTATTTACATTTTATCTATGCCTGCTTTTTTGAAGAAGGGCAATGTTAAGTAGTTGTGACAAAGACCCACAAAGCCTAAGGTACTATCTGGCTCTTTATACAAAAAATTAGCTGATCCCTGGCTATTCTGTAACTTTCAACGAAAAGCAGTTCTAATTAATATAGATGATTCATTCACTTTCAGGACTTAAATTATTATTTCTCTGTTTGAGTCTGTAGATCTAAAGTCAGATCACTATTTACACTTTTCTATTTACAATTAAGGAGCTCTGGTAGTGTAGTGCTTACAAATTGGGCTGTCAACCGCAAGGTTAGCAGTTCGAAACTACCAGCTGTTCTGTGGGAGATTGATGAGGCTTTTTGTTCCTGTAAATATTTACAGCCTCAGAAACTCTGTACAGGGTCGCTATGAGTCAGAACCGATTCACAACAACAACAACAATTTACAATTAGGAGTCCTGATGTGGAGCTGTAGGATAAGCACGGCACTGCTAACCTCAAGGTTGGCAGTTCAAGCCCACCAGCCACTCCTCAAAAACCCAAAACGGTTCCAGTGAGTCGGAAACAACTTGACAACACTTAACTACCACAACAAATTTACAATTGGATCCTAGCTTCACTTTAGACTACTGATTCTTCTTTGATGATATTTCTTTAATTTGTTTATGCCTCTCCATTTCTACAACCATTCCACATCTTACCCAGAAAGTTTCACATTTAAACTATTCCAGCAGTGTCCTAGCATACCTTTCTATTTCAATGTCCCATCTCTCACTCAACCCTAGCTCCTCAGGGACACTATGCTTTATAATAATATTTCATATATGCTTTATAATAATACTCAGATACTAGTAATCAACAAAATTCACTTATCTGTAACTTATATTAAGAATGATGATTTTACTATATTCTTATTCTAACTGAAACATTCATTCCCAGCATCACACATGAGTCCATGAATGCATCAACAACTCTCTGATGCTGACCAACAAACTGATCTGCCAGTTTGTTGTACTGTGGTGACTTGCGTGTTACTGTAATGCTGAAAGCTATGCCACCAGTATTTTAAATACCAGCAGGGTATACCTATGGTGGACAGGTTTCAGTTGAGCTTCCAGACTAAGACACAATAGGAAGAGGGAAAGATGGACTCCTTCTAGTACTCCAACTCTAATAATCTTTGATTCTTCAGGGCCTTATAGTTATTCGATCCTAACACCTTTCACACCTCTCATCCCACTTCTAAGTCCTCAGGTCCTTTCTAACTAAGCATAAATTCTATGATCCATCATTATAATCACTCCTTTGCCCCTCGTTCACATTTTTGTATTCCATCCCTGGTTAATACACCTTTCCTCCTACTGCATGCCTACAATCCAGTTAGCCGACTATGGAGCGCAGAGATATATACATTCAATGTGACTGAATTCACATGAAGTTCAAGTGTACCTTTAAAACTGGCCTTCAATCAGTTCCGCAGTCCATTTGCTCCTTTTCTTTACTAGGTAAATATTGCATATCATCTTTTTCAAACTTGCAATATCTTGTCCCCATCCTCAATCACAGCTGATGAGTTTGTTGACGAAGACAAAAGCAATCAGATGATAACTTCTACATCTGTTTACCACTTTGCATCTGCACCCCAATCTGCCTGCGCCCCTAACACCAGTGTCTCATGTACATAAAATCTCATCTTTTCTTATTTACTCAAAGATATAACCTACTCTCCCCTTTCCCATATACCAATTTTTTTTTCCCATCTCACCAATATATAACATGCCACAGCATTCCCCATCTTACAAAACAAAAAAAAATTGACTTTATGTCCTCTTCCAGCTATCATGTCACTACTCTGTTCCCTTTTACAGCATCCCCCCCTTCAAAGCCTCTATTTTCAACTATAGTCCTTTTTTTTTTTCATATTTTCTTTTGACCTCATGCTTATCATGCGTCTGTCTCAATTACCACATTGAACTTTTTCTTGTTAAGGACACCAATCATCTCCTCACTGCTAAATCCAATATTCAATAATCAGTTCTCATCCTACTCTATCATTTGATACAACTGGTTTCTCCTTTTATGATATTTTATTCACTTAGCTGGATAAGTATAATTATCTCCTGGGTCTCCTCCCATCTCACTAGCTAATCATTCTGTGTCCTTTTTTGGGTCTGTCTTGTCTCTCTGATCTCTAGCTATTGGTGTGTCCCTTAGATCACTTTTCTTCTCTAATAACATCTGCTCTCAGCAATTTCATCTGGTCTTATGACTTCAAATGTCACCTTTATGCTGATGAATTCTAAATTTATATCTATTCTGGACAACCCCTTCAAACTAGTATAACCACCAGACTACAGTTTGGATGCTAACAGGCACTTAAAACTTAATATGTGCCCAAAGTTTCCTGATATTCCTTTCAAATTCTCAGTGTTCACTGCCTCTGCTAATAGAAACTCCAAACTTCCAGTTACTTGGACTAAAAAGTTAAGAGTGACCCTTAACTATTCTTTTATGTTGCATATCTGATTTGTCAGCAAAGCTTGCTACTTTTACTTTAAAATATATATCACCCCTCCACAATTACCATCTTTATAAAAATCTCTATCCATTTCTTTGCCTGGATTAATATAATGGCCTCTCAACTGGTCTTCTCTAGTTAAGCTTTGGTGCCTGTCATACACTGATCTACTTGCTGTGGCTCTTCTAGCTATATACAGTTTTTATAACTTTCTCCAAGTGACTGAGTGGGACAGACACACTGGATACATTTCCTGCTGGGTCTGGGTAAGAGAAGGTGGGGGGGATATGCTGACAGGATTATAGATTCAGGGTTAATTGTGACTGTAAAAACTTGGAACTCTAATGTGGGAATTGGTCAATTTTGCCATGATGCAGGGTATAAATGAGCTATCTCAGAAGCAGGAGCAGGGAGATCTCACTACCATAAAAAAAAAAAAAGGGAGCCAGGAGTAGTAGCACGTATCCTGTGGAACACGAGATCCCTGTGTGTGGAATCAACCTCAATCCAGGAGACAGAGAGCTGTGACATCAGAGAAATGGCAGAGGGAAGGCAGCAGCAGAACTAAGAGCTTGAGAAAGAGTGGTGAGCTTCCTGGTCCACAGAGTGACTAAAGCTGAATGCCTTTGGGCTGGAAGCTCACTTGTGGAGTGGGGTGACTCTGGGCATTTAATTGGGGGAGCAAGGTTTGTCAATCCACAGAGCTAGTGCTGCGTGCCTTCAGGCTGAGGCTTATGGTGGAATGGAGTGTCTTCTGGGTATTTATCAACAGCGCTGGTGTGATGTTGTAGGATAAGCACTGAACTTCTAAGTATAAGGTTGGTAGTTCAAACCCACCAGCTGCTCCTCAGAAACCCTACACAGGGTCACTGTAAGTTGCAATTGACTTGATGGCACTTTACAACATCAAGAACAAAACCATATATTTCAGAAACAAATTTTGATACCATATATGGCAACCTTAAGGAGCTCTGGTAGTGTAGTGGTTATGAATTGAGCTGCGAACCGCAAGGTCAGCAGTTCGAAACTGCCGGCTGCTCTGCAGGAGACAGATGAGGCTTTCTGCTCCAGTAAAAATTTACGGCCCCGTAAACCCTGTTCAGGGTCGCTATGGGTCGGAACCGACTCGATGGCACTTAACATCAATGGCAACCTTATGTATATAATTAAGAATCATAGCATAGCATGATAACTCTTAGAAGGGCTATATATCAGAAAATTTCAAGGATTATTTTTTTGAGAAATATACATACCAGACGTCATTCTGGATCTACTGGATTGGGATCTTTGGGATTCAGTACTAGACATGGAGATTTTGAGCGATTCTCCAAATGATTCCCAAAGGAATGTAGGTATCATTGAGCAATATCATTAATATCACGTGCAAGTAAATTTTTGCTTAAGATAATTCATAGTTCCAACAGTACATTTATAGCAAAATGCCATAAATTCAAATAAGATTCAGAAAAGGAGTGGAACTTAGGATACCATGGCTGATATCAGATAGTCACTGTAAGCTCTTGGCTAAAGGCAAAGAACACCAGAAAGATGCTTACATGTGCTTTATTGACGACACAAACTTTCGACTATGTGGAGCATGACAAATTAAGGATAACTTTGTAGAAAATCGGTATTCCAGAGCACTTAATTCTGCTCATGAGGAACATGTACATAGATCAAGAGGCAGTTATTTTACCAGAACAAAGGGTTAGTGAATGGTTTAAAGGCAGAAAAGGTACGTGTCAGGGTTGTATCCTTTCACCATACTTATTCAGTCTGTACGCTGAGCAAATAATTGGAGAAACTGGAGTTACATGAAGAAGAATGTGCCATCAGGATTGGAGGAAGACTCATTAACAACCTGTGATATGCAGATGATACAACCCTGCTTGCTGGAAGTGAAGAGGACTTAAAACATTTACTGATGAAGACCAAAGACCAAAGCCTTCAGTAGAGATTGCATCTCAATGTAGTGCAAACAGTAATTCTCACAACTGGACCAATTGGTATCATCATGATAAATACAGAAAAGATTGATGTTTTCAAAGACAAAATTTTGCCTGGATCCACAATCAACACTCATGGAGGCAGCAGACAAGAAATCAAATGATGTATTGCATTAGGCAAATCT